TAGGGAGACGAATGATTTGTTGCAAAAAAGGCAAATTGCAGGAATCGACCAGAGCTTTGGGGCATAGCCCCGTGCTGGTGTCCAAGAAGCACGGAATCTGGCGCATGTGGGCTAGGTTTTTGCCCCTAACCAATATTAATTAGAAGCGCAGATACCCGACCCTCATCTGAGATTTATTGGAGAAGCTGTACGGATCAACAGGCTGCTCGGCGTTTGACTTGACGGACGGCTTCTCACAAATCCCCATCGGCGCCTCTGACAGGCATAAAACGGCCTTCCACGATCCCAGTCGTAAATTCTTGCGTTCGTGTGCGCATTAAATGCTAACATTCGAGCCGAACTGCAACGAAAAAATAATCTCTACTCCCATGAGCCTATCACGGAAGGGTGGATGGCTGCTTGCATGAAGGACGTCGCAATGAGGCAGAACGTTTGAGAGAGGACACTGGATCGGGCGATTCAGCTGGTGCAGAAGAATACGTGATATGTGAGCGCAGAGCAAGTATTCGTTCTTATGACAACAGTTGTGTTTCTGGGATTCCTTGTTTCGGCTGCAAGAGTTGAGCAGGATCTGGCAAAAAATTGACAAAAGCAAGGAGTGCCATAACCTTTGCGCGCCTATACAGCCGTTGATGAGTATTGGGTAATTGCGTGTAAAACCAAAGTGTTATTTGTGGATTCGCTGGGATCATTGCTCCCTTGAAGGACCTGCGCAATGAAGCGCTCCCAAAGGCACGGACAAGGAAGGCTGAAGCCGCAACAATGACGCTTATCGGTAACCTTACAACTCCTCCAGTACCTAGACAACTTAATCATAGGAATTATCTCATCCGTAGTGACTAGTGCTTGTGACGCACTAGTTGGTGCTATTTTCTCCTCAAAGGCTACTGGTTCTACACAGCCTCACACTATCGCTCTGCCTCACTGGTCCATCGAAACCGAGCAGCGCTATCCATTGCGGAAAATGGAAGTCATGCGGTGTACTGGAGAGTAGAGAACTATTAGCACTGATTGTGTGAGTGTCACTGTATTGTCCAGATCAACGATCAATATTTAGTGTACGTGGCAAAGGGCTTTCAGCCATTTGATAATCCTAGGGTTGCTCACTGGCTGGGCTCCTAAAGCACAACGTTGGGATAAATCGCACATAGCGTGCAGTCAGTGTGATCACTAGCGCGTTCTCCTAATGCCCTAGTCATTTACTTTTGTGCAATGCAACCGCTATTCGTTGTGACGTTTCACGGTTTCTGTCGACCCATAGCCAGTCTCATGCTTAAGACTCTCATTCTTCAGCTATTGCTGCCCAATTCCGCACTGACAGAAATAATGCAGCACCACGTTGACGTTGGCCTGCTGTGGTTAGAAAATTTGCACTCAAGTAGACAGTTCTTTAATCCTTCTGGTGGCATGTAATGCCTTTCGCAGCAGAGTAATTTGGACTGTCATGCCCAGACTATGGGCACGTAAAGCCGCACAATTGTCCCAAACTCCGCCGTTGCAAAGCCCTCCTACTTCTGGAAAGATCTGGACAGGTCTGGTTATGGGCCTTGTTGCTGGACTGCCAAAGGTCAATGATCAGTATGCATTTACATCGTTTTCGGCAGACTCAGCATGTACGCCCCTTGCATATGTTGCTTTAGCTATGTGACATTACGGCCAAGTGAGTCGCCCAATCATCTTAACCTGTGACCGCTAGCCCCACAGATTCTTCAAAGTAGTATTAGGGATACGGATCCGAAGTTCTTTAGTACTTTCTGGTGTGTCTTTATTATCCACCTACACATTTACAACAACATGACCGCAATGAATCATCCTGAGGCAGATGGGTAGAGAGTGTGCACCTAAGCACTCTTCTGCAATATTTGCTACTATGCGCGCACAAATCCTACCTTCTGGCTAGATTTATTCCATGTGTTGAGCGCGCTTATAATGCAACGGAACACTCATCTACCCATTGTCTCGCCATTAACTCTGGGCTCGAGCCTGGTGGTTCTCGGTTGCAACCTTCCCTAACAGGCGAGGGCTCAAGGTGACAGCTAATTTAGTGCACGTGGGAGTATGCACAGAGCTTAAGAGAGATGAGCGTGCAATTCTAGGCGGATCTCGGCTGTATGCTCTGAGTTCGGCAACTTGGCCCTCGTGAAACGGCAGGCTGTGCGAGGTGCATCTGAAGCGTGGGAAAGAAAGAGGCGTGCTAGAAACTGGATCACGTAGTGTTTTAAAGGCCCTAAAGCATGAAGTTATTAGCAATGCTCATCACAAATCTATTTCAGATATACGCAGGCATCTCACGGGTTGGCCCTAGCGGGTCACCCATACCGCAAAGCCAGCATGCTGCTGGGATGTATGACCCTATGCCTAACAGGTCTTGCCTAGGACTACCTAAACATATCCCCTAACCTCAACCGTTGCCTCGAGATCGTTTTGCTATGAAAAATTGTACCAGGCGCACTTTTCAAATAGCCTTGATTGACGTGCATGCAGATGCCTAGCAAGCAGCCCCAGGGATGGATTCTCACGGCTTTCTATTACATGCATTCAGCAGGTATTCCCAAGGCTTACTAAGTAGGACAAATGGACAGGCATCTGGAATTATTTGTATTGTAGCTGAGTACGACACCCGCACTAGATAAAGAAATCGATTGTAACTCGCCACCGAGTAAACAGGTGAAAACGCTTGCCGCCAGATTGGTAGGGATATTTGCCGTCCCCTTCAAGAATCAATGCTCTCACTGCCCTTCCATAATCTATCGATCTCCCTAGCTGTTAGACGCTTTAAAGAAGTATCAATATTAACTTACTAACCAAGCTCCAAGGCTCCTAACTTTTTCGTGGACCTTGCCGCGCATGTGGGAGACCTCCTTGGGGACAGAAGATCCCAAGAAAGCTGTAGAAACGCTTCTACGGCTATTGAGCTTCGATGGCAAACACAAGGGGTTTTTTGGACTGGGATGGCGCACGCAAATCTGAATAGTTGAGGGAGGGGCAGCTGGGGGCTTCGTTGCCAGGGGGAAGATTCGTCACACTTGTTTGGTTAAGAACCTTACTCACAGGGGGGATTACTCTTCGCTCATGGTAGCAGCCCTTCCACAACGCATCTGCTCTCTGACATATGCTGAATTTCCTTCGTTATAACTGCTTGTAAAGCTTCGGGTTGTTATATTCTAAGATGCCCACAACACTTTATGAGCAGGCATTCTCAGCAAAGTTGTCTCTGCATGTTGGCTAAAGCTTCTATTGGGGCTTCTAAAATTACCATGGTGCTTCTACTGGGTGCAATGGCATGCAGATATTGCTCTGTGAGGCGTGAAGGCGCTGCTGGCGTAGTGTGTACTTGGATTCCTTCTACACACACTACTATTCTTTTGCTTTCTGGTAGTACGAAGCTAACACGTTCAGCACTTCTATTACATTGAGCCATTGCCCAGCCATGGTCTTGTTGACTTGGTCTCGCACTTGCGGTTGGCTAGTGTGTGTATTTCCCGTCCCTTCTATTTCTCTGTACGGTTCCAGCTGTCTTCATCTTTTTCATTCGCACTGGTTTTCGCGTTTTCTGCTTGTCTATGGAATCGAGACCTGGCGAGAACTCTTCCCCTGTCCCACATGAACCTGGAGTTGACGCACAAGGCAGCCTTCTTTTCTCATTTGGTTCCTTGCTCTTCTTTGCCCCGATTTATTGCCGCCATAAGTTTTCGCCATAGGCAAGGGCTTCTCGTTTAAGAGGGAGAAAGATCTAGAGGGTTACGGCAAGCTTAGGCAGTTTCTCCAGCCCTCAACTAAATTATTAATAAACCAAGTAATTGGTTTGGTTGTTCGTGTATGTTACCGCTTGCAGAATAGTGCTACATTAATACTTAAAACGCTCTGTTATATGGGAGCGTGCTAGACGCTTTATGCAACTACTTGCGAAAGCTCTATTTATTGGGCACAGCTACGCACACCGTAGCTGGCCCACCCCTTTCCATGTGGGAGCCCGGAGAATTGGGAGCAGATGAGGGAGATAGATTTCGGAAACAATTAGTAGCCTAGTAAGTTTGCATTGAGCGGAGTTCAGGGGCTCGCTGGGGAGATCGCAGGCAGATATTACGTTAAATTCATTCATGCCTTAGTCAGCCTGCCCTTTCCTTCAGCAAACAGCCAAATCATATTATCAACTTTTGTGAACTTCTCAATCGAGTATAATCAGGGTAGCAGAAGGACTCAATGTATAGCATTGGCTCGTAACAAGCTTGGCCAGCTGGAACCTGTTTTTGTAGGTGCACATACATGTTGCTTTTAGTATTTGTCAGATGCCATCTAAAAAAGCCTGGCACATGTAATTAACCTGGATTAAGTATAGATAAAGTCACTTCGCACCCTACAATTTATAGAGCATCCCACCCATGGGTGCCACAGTTGATCAAATGCATTTCTGCGTGCCCTCTCGTTATTTCCAGTAGCTTAGCTGTGCTTGCTAGCTGTAAAAGTTTATGGGGTGCTTGGTTGAATAAAGCTAAGTATATCTCTTCTGGAGTCAGAAACAGGAGACGAGGCCTCCTTACAAGCCAGCTCCTCATTGTTCACAGTGGCCTGGATCGGGTTCAACGCTTGTGGGGCGCCACCCACCAGGCCGGGCTTTTCTTCCTCCAATCACGCCACAGGTTTTTCAAGCTGAAGTTCCCCTGTAGGTGGCTGTGACTGGCTTAAGCAAATCATTTCCTTTGTGTTAAGTAGTATAGTTACTGACTGCAGTGGCAATATATGCGTCAGTGAGAACTAATTAACGAAGTACCCCCTCCAAAGAAGTACCCCCTCGTCAAGCCTTCAGAGTCTTCTGGCGTTTCCTCCGTGTTGCATTAGTTTCTTTTACGGTCCGGGTGTTTGATGCTTATAGCTGGATTTTAAAAGATAAAACTGCTGGTATTTTCGACATACAGCTTGCTCCAAGAGGGAGACGGGGCCCCAATCGATCTGCGGGGCCCCTAGATCTCAATCCTAGCGACAGCATTTAAAAAACCATTCCTTACCTTTAATCAATAGAAGCAACAACCGAACGCTCAACTGAACTAGGAGTAGAAGCAGAAACAGAGATAGTCGCAGCAGCAGTCAAGTATGTAGCACACTGTTTTGTTCAAGTGAAGGCACGGGGCAGGAAAGATTGTGGCCAGCCATGGAATTCCCTTGCCACGGGATGTGGCTTACAAAGTGGAAGCAGCAGCTGCTGCTCACGCTGTTAACCTTTGCGGTACCGCCGTGCCACTGCAGCCACCATGATGGCGCTGTGATTTTATCTGAGGAATACGGCAACGAATTCACGGCTACGGTGACTGAGACTGAGGGCTTACAGCACACAAAGACTGGATCTATACAAAGGGCTGTTGGATCTGATGATTCTACGCTGCTCTCTTCTGAATACCATGGTGGTCTAGAGGGTCCTGGCTCCTCTGTTGAAGCAGTTGATCTTGAAGAAGTCCCCTCTGGTGTACCGGAGTTGGCTAGCGCGTGTGAGTCTGTTTGGGATACCGAGACATCACAGCAGGGGAAGGGTGGCCCTGGGTTTCCTAGGCTGCTGCATTTAGCAAGTGCTAATTTGCTTGTACTTGCGTTGCTGTATATTATTGTGGGCTTGAGGAGCCTTGCGGCAGCGGAAAGCCGGGACAAAGAAGAGAAAAAAGCCATTGAGAAAGAGAAGGCTGCTTTGCAAGCGGCCATAAGTCAGGAGGCTGCAAAGGCTGAGTTTACCAGGGCGGAAGTGAAATTGGGGCCTGATAACCGCGCGATTACCCAATCCATTGTGGAATATGCGCGTGAAATGGAGCCAAAGTTGGCTGCCAAGTACGCTAAAGCTATGGCGAACGCGCGAACAGCCAAAGAGATACTGGAGCGCGCAAAGAAGTCGCCGCAGGAAGCGGTTTCTGCGCAGGATGCCGCAATGGTTGAGCTCGAGTTGGCGGACCAGATGAAAGGTGTATCAGAAGAACAGTTGCCGGAGTTTCTGGAGAAGATAAGGCAAGAGGACATCCTTGCGAGTATGTGGCTGGAGTTGCTTGACAACTGTATTGGATTGGCTCGTGCGCAGACACCTGAGGAAGCGTCTAGAGCAAAGCAAAGTCATCTTGCCCATCTAGACGAATATCAGGGTAGGTACCAGGAGCTCATGGAAGAGCTGCCGGTGCAAAAAGCTTTATTAAAGCAGGAAATGATGTTAGATAAATCCCTGGATGAGGACATAGCAGGATTGGAGAAGCAGGTGGAGGAAGCCGAACAGAAGATAAGTGACCAAGAGTTAGCATTTGGCCCCGACCGCAAGACAGCAGACGAGTTGACTAAGGAAGCGATGGATAGGCTGAGGAATCAAAGGAAACTTACTGCAAAGCTACGAGAGGAAAGCGCTATGAACAGGGTCAGCTGGTATGCCCTTCAGCAGGCAGAGAACTCGCTGAAGGAGAATAAAAAACAGCTGGGAATATTACTGAGTTCAAAGTCCCTTATGCCCACTGACTATGAGAGCTTGGAACTCACTCCAGGTGCCCTACACCTTGAAGAGAAGCAGCTCCTAAAGGCTGAAAAGCATTTAAAGGCCCTTGAGGATGAGCGGGCTCTTTTGGTGGCCGAGCACGAGGCCCTGAAACTGAAGTGCGACGAGACTGTCAACAACAAGAACATTGCCGCCAAACTGCTAGAAATGGTTAAAATTCCCCAGGAAGAGCTACTAAGCCTCAAGGATGCATCAGAAGGTACTGGTGGGGAAGAGATGAAGCATCATGATGTACGGATGGAGGGAAAATTAGTAAATACGGCGGTGCGACGGGCTCTTGAGAAACTAGAGCAGTTTGAAACGAACAGAACGAAGCAAGAATCAGTAGATCGAAATCTTGTTGTCGCATCTAGCGCAGTGAAACGCTGGGGACGAGAGGTTGAAAAGCTCAAAGCCCACATGGAGCTGCGAATGAGAGACCCGATGGCATTTGGCACGGCTGCACAGGAAGAACTAACGCGCAGGATGGCCAAGAAGAAAGATGTGGCAATCAGTCTGCGGGACAGGTTTTCGGGCTTTAGCTCCTTCATTTTTGACCATCCAGATTCAAGTATAGCTCTTAGTTTGTGGACAAAAGATGTGGCGCCTTACGCAAATGCCTATGTTCTCAGCATACAGGAGTTTGTGCAGGACTTGTCCCGCCTCCGGCTGGCAGACGCATTCACTCAGGATTACTTGTGGAATAGGCAGCTAATTGAGGACTTGCAGTTGAAGCCTATCGAAGATCTCATGCGTGATGTGACAGCAGGCTCCGAAGGTGCACTGCAGAAGGAACGCGTAAGCTCCAGGCTGGAGTCTCTCAAGTCAGAGCTGAGTACTCTCGAGACCCAGGAGCAAGCTATCAAGCAGGAAATACAAGAGCTTCGCACTCAGCTCGAGCTAATGACGGACTCAGGTTTCTGGAACTCGAGCATGCCTCAGCTGATAACAGGTACTTCGACCTACATTGAGCGGCAGACAGCTATGCTCAATTTCCTTGGGCGCCGCAAGGAGTGGCTACAGGGTGTCACTGAAGGCGATGTGCAACAGGAAGTGCAGCAATGTTTCATGGATGCAGTAAGGGTATCAGGAGAACGGCTCACGCGGTACGGACCAGACCCAAGCATTCTCGATGCCCTGCACAATGCGCACAAAACCGCTATTGGCGATGTTGCTGCTAACCTCAAAAAGATTATGGCAGATCATAGGGTAGATGAGGAGACATTAGCTCCTGCATATAACAAAAGTCGGTTTCCAACTCATAAACGAAGTGAAGACATTTCTGACCAACCGGGATTTCCGGCTAGAGGTCCCACCGAGTTCGGCGGGGAGGTGCATGATAAGCTGCCCGAACCAGTGTCCAGATTGAATTTTGATGATGGTTTTACGGGAGAAACATACGTCTCAGAAATACAGTGACGGAAGAACCCTTCGAAAAAATCCGATGGGAAATAAGGCGCAAGTCGGCGGCTCATCAAGAGGTGGAAAGCTCATGGTAGCGAAGCCGCAAATGTCGTTGCCTCCAGGAGCTGCCTTGTTCCCCAGAAAAAGTATATTCTAAGCGCCCCTAATTTCCTTGCTATATTCCGTGCTTAACCTGGTGGTGGTGGCACAGACGTTTTCGTAGGCAGCAACGACTTGCATGGCGTATTTTTCTATTCCACACTCATGTGTCTGGATGCCTCACACTTGTCATACACCTTGTTTAACATGTGAGCTTTGCCATTTTTCCCTTTTTCGTTTCAATTTCACTTTGAATTCATGCTATCAAGGGTCTGTGTACCGTTATCAGCATTCCTACATCACTCGGCGTCTGTCCGCCTATTTTTAGGTGCTGCACTTCGGAGCTTCGGGCGAACTACATTTCGCTACAGTTCATCTGCCTCCTTTGACCATACTCTGCCTGATCCTTTTGTATTGGCGGGTTGGGGTTCCCCATATGATCCTTGGGGTGTCTTGTGCTTCAGAAGGAGCTAGCATGTCCGCTCTAAATGCCTCAGCCCTTCAGCCAAATTGTGGTCGCGTGCAGCAGAAAATGCGCCTTACACACGACTTCCCATTTTTTCGCGTCGGCAGAATCCTGCCACTGGAAGGCACTGTAGAGCTTTAAAGTGACTTCTTGCGTCCCTACCTAGGGTTCAGGGCAGCAATTACAACAGAGGCAGATGCTGGAAAGCTGCATTTCGACATTATCTGTATCAAGCAGCAATTAAATACCCTTGTCGTGGAGTTGGAGTTTTCCTGCACTTCGCTATTGTAGACAAAAGTAAAACAATTTTTAACGACTGTATTCTCGTAACACGCCATCACTGCAGCATCCGTCATCAATCCTAAAACTCGATGCTCTGGCGTCCTGTGTTGTAAACTATGAGCTCGCCAGGCGCGCAGGAAGTGTAGTTGACAAAACAATGCTGCTACAGGGACGCTTCGTTCTTTAGACAGATTAAGTAAGGCCTACGGCTCAGTCGCTCTGGGGAAACAGATTAAATGGAGGCATAGGCAGGAGGGAAGGGGAAACCGTCAGATGCTCAACGTCTCCGGTGGTAAGTCATGGGAAGCTTATGGAACAGCACGTTAGTAGATAGATACTTAGTTGCAGATAGGTCCCTCCTTTATTGGCCCAGATTCCCCAATGAAGGTAAAGGGTAAAGAAGGCCCCTTCACCTAGGGCCCTATTTGCTCTAATTTGTAAACTTTACTGCAAGCTACGCAGCTTACCTTGCTCTAGAGACGTTTTCACTCTTTCTTCAATTGCAGAAAGGAGCCCCGCGGGGCTCTGGGACTACGCGTTCCAGAAATAAGCAGATCTACAGGAATAGGCTACGGTTTTGCATAATGTTATGTTCGATTTACTGATATCTATTTTGGTGTGCTTTGTGAAAATCGGTACTATGATATTGTATTGTTAGCATTACTAGGCAATTGCACCAAGCAGCTTATTCATCAAAATGAAGGCCAGCAATAAGGCACTGGTATACGCAGTGCCCAACGATAAGATTTCTTGGGGCTTTTTTGTGTATATGTATGCGGGTGGGGGAAGGCGCTGGGGTGAACGACTCCTCACAATCCCCGGCTTTTGCAGGGCATCTCCCACATAGGACGGACAGACCCTTGAAACGGTCTTCGTAAAATAAGTGAGTGCAGTGCATGTGTTTTGCATGACAGAAACTGGTTTGTGCTTGTTTAATCTCATTAAGAAGCGAAGCATACAAATGATCCGGCGCATGAGGAGCTCGGGAGATTTCAGATTGGCGCACTAAGGAGACCAAAACGAGTCCTCCACATGCCAGTAGAGAGAAATAAAGAGGCACCAGCGGAAAACCAGAAAGCATAGCAAAGCGGGCCAAGCCGAAGGCTCGTAAATGATCGGGACACCGCGAAGGGACGAAGGAAGTGGGAACATCCGTAGCCTCCCACAAAAACCTAAGAAACTCCACCAATCAGCCTTTCAGCAGGCTATACCTCATCACGCGAAAAGGCTTTCTTTGTAGACGGACTCTGCAATCGTGCATCTTCCTGCTTCCCCCGCAGTCGAAGGCGCATTAAAGGCACTTATGCTTTGAAAACTATGGGCTGCATGTATGCTTAGTCTTGTAGGGCTCAGAGCCTTTAAACGGATATTAGCTCAGGTGCATGCCCGTCAATGCTAGCTCATCTTAGAGGAGCTGGCATGGCTAGAATAGTTGTGGGGAAGAACATGAGGTGAAGTGGCACTGCGGCCGCGCTTCCAGCTGCTTTCTGCGTAGCTTAAGCCGCTATAAGTACCAACCCCTAAGGATCTAGGAGTCCTGCAATTACTTATTTTACAGGAATAGTAGCTTCTACTACAACCTTAGTCTAGATGGACAACTGCGTGCAGCATGTGCAAATAAGGATTTGAGGTGCCTAGATTAGTTGTGGGGAGGAATATTATTTCAGACTAATTTTACAATTGCCTGCTATTCCCCCATAGTCAAGCTTAACACAGCCTTGGCCTAACTCATGGGGTGGGTTGGAGAAAGCGCAGTAACATACTTTTTAGCTAGCTGCATGTGATTGAAGTGGCACTGGCATCGACTGGCCCAACCGGAAGGCTATTACCCTAGGGGTGGGACTAGGTCTGCACGCAGCAGGGCACGCAGAGACTGGTTTTGTCGGCCAAACAGTGTTCAAGTGTTGGTTCTGCATAGAATTGACCGAACCGCAGACCATTCCACCGCTTTTAGCAAGGACGACATTTCCTATTGGATTCGAACTGGCGGATGTGCTGCTGCCTGCTGGTGCTGGATTATACACTTGGTGCAGCTTCAGCTGCAAAATGCGCGGCCAGCAGTGTTCGTAATGCACTTTCTCTTCTTATTAGAGCAAACGCGGTCCTAGAGAGACTTTCGGATGCTGAGCTTCAGTATTAGGTGACAAAATATGCTAAGTTAGTATTTGATAGTTAAACGCGTGACACGCATAAATTTAAAGCCTCTTTCGGTGTCTTGCTAATACAATTCACATGTTAACTTTTGAGTATTTTACTAAGGCTGAGGAAGCTCTTTAACATGTCGAGCCAGATGTACAAGCCACTGGATCAATGTATGCGTGGGAGCTTGTGCTTGAAGACATGTGGGGAGAGTGTCCTCGCAAGCCTCAAGCTTTTGCAGCGCACCAGATTCTGTGGAATCCTATGCCCCAGGCTAGTCTCTTTCTCAGTAAGCTTTGAGGAGAGCTGGAACACCTTTCCATGTGGAGATTAGTGGCTTGTATTCCCTTTGGCTGTTCGTGGGTTAGGCAGGCACCGAGTTAGGATCCAGGATACCCTCACAGATGCGCCACTAGCCGGCTGCGGAAACCAGGGAGAGGACCCAACACGCGGAGGGATTGCCGAAAGGTAATCAGCAGTGGTCCAACATGCCAAACACTTTAAAGGCCAAAGGCGAAAGTGTTATCAGTATTGGCTAAGAATTACGGGATTAGGTCAGTGGGAACGAGCATGTTGGCTTACTCCTGAAGTGGCACTTGCATCTGTCATCCCTTTAAAGTGCCATGCCCTGATTTTCGAGAATTCGGATTCAGCAAAAGATGCCAAGCAATAGCTACTCAGGAGAAAGTTGTTGCTGCAGGCCCGTGACGGCTGATGACCTGTTGTTCGCATGATCAGAATGTATTGAAAGCAGAAATTTCAGCTAGTGGTGAGGCTTAACAAAGTATCTCAGAGCTTCCTATACCATACGAGTCCGATTTTTCTATCAAATGTGACTGCAGGTAAACTCCTTACATTATGATGGAAGACGAAAGCAACGGACAAGAATCCTCACTTAACGAGCAGATGCCAGCTGTTCCTTCATACGACTCTACGGGTGTGGAGCGAGTGCATGTGAGACGCTTGGTAATTTCCAGGGTCCATCAGATAGCCCTACATGTATAAATGGAGAACTGTCTCGGACTATGCAAATTATAGAGGAAACACCAAGATATCATAAAGGATTAGACCACGGGAAGACGGTGGACTACCATTTCAAGGTTGAAGCAGTGATACAAGTCATGGAAACAGCTCTCAGAAAAGCCATATTCGTCATGCTCAGAAACGCTGCCTGAATGAGCAAGCGAATTTGGTGTGGGAGGGCTTTTGTCGTGTGACGAAGGGACCTGATATATGCTGTTTTCACAGTTGGACAGCTCAGGCTTGAATCTGGCCGACGAAGCTGCTGGACGGATGTTTATAGGTAGGCAGATAAGGTGTATTTATGATTGCGTCAAGAAAACATTATTCGGGTGAGCCAGAGCGAGACTCCCACAGGCAGCATATGAGAAGGGGCTCACTGCAAATCTATATCTCCAGACCAACAAAATAGCCCGCCGTAACCGCTGCGGAATGATATGCATCCAACACTTCATCCCCCCACAGAAGTTTTTGGCGGTGCTCAACCACGGCAAACACTCATAGATAAGCCCTTGTAGATGCTTCTGTTGCGTGTGCAAGAAGCTGCAAGCCACGCGACGCATTGCCTGCACAGGCTAGCCGCAATCTTTGAGTAGGCCCAACAGTAGTAGGCGTTTACACAAAGAAAAACTTGAGTATACACACTCTACAAAGTGGCTTATGCCATATGGATCAGTACGAACGTTCACGGGAATATGAGGACCAGGCAAGGCTGTGGGATTCGCACACGTTCTGACAGAAAAATTCCGCCACACTATGCAACAGCCAAATATGGAGCGATACTGTAAGTTGATCTACTACAATTACCAGTGAATTAAGTGCTGGGGCCCAAAGCGTGACAAAGGCTTTCAGACTCTGCATGGTCCCACAACTATACTAAGCATCTGCACCTACCAAACTCCAACAGCAAGAGCAACAGTGTCCATCGCTTGAAAGCCCGCAACGATAGCTGGTTATGCATGCAGCTATGGTCTGTGATATTGTGCTAAACGTCAAGTTCCATCGCGCG